AAACCCAACCCAAACTCAACCCATATTTCATAAAAAGTCAAAAAATGCACTTATTTAGCATTCCCAAACTTGGCCTAAGTTATTGAAAAAGAGAAGTTATTGTAGAGTAATTATTTAGAAAATGTGATTGAGTGGAAAGTTATTGTAGATTATTTTATTTATTTATTTATTATATAAATGTCACGTGACAAAAGTTTTAAGACATCAAAAAGGATTTCACTTGATAGTGTAGATGTGAATTATGTGCAATTACAAGGACTGAATGAGAATTGTTCGCTGCCCAACTTGCCGGCCACAAACACTGTTTTAACTCTTTCTCTTTCACTGCTTCATCTCTCTGCTTCACAACACACCCTAGAGTTCAAATCACCACATCTCTACACAGCCCGATGACCAAAACACCAAACCCCTTTAACAAATCTAAATTCCTATACATGTATGTATATATGTTTTTTATATCGTTATTCAGTAGGTTATTTTTTTCCCTTCTAATTTTGGGGTTTCTTTGATATTACAATCACCAGCAACCTCAAATATGCCTCCATAATTCCAAAACCTTAACCCACCATAACCCATAAGCATTCAGTAGGTTATTTTTTTCCCTTCTAATTTTGGGGTTTCTTTGATATTACAGTGAATGCTTATGGGTTATGGTGGGTTAAGGTTTTGGAATTATGGAGGCATATTTGAGGTTGCTGGTGATTGTCCATCCAGTTAACTTGTTCGGAGCATTTGAAAGGTCCATTTTTTTGTTGTTGTTGTTATTGTTGTTGGTCTTGTAGTCTTTCTCTTTTGTATCTTAATGACTTAAATTTGATATGTGCGAGTTGTATTGCTTATATTCCTGGGAGCTCAAGCTAGCTCGTTTATACAATCGAATTGGGACAAGCAAAGCTCAAGTTGCCCAACTGCTTGTGGTATTTTTACAATAGAAAGAAATATATGCTAGACATAGAGATTGAAAAAGAAACACTAAACACATTTGAAAAATAGCAACTATCCCATGAACAATAACAATAAGTCTCCCCTAATCCAACTATCCTAGATTTTTTTGACACCACTTGGCATCCCTACATAATTTGAAACAACATACCATTACTTTGAATAAGTCAAAGACCACTAACTTTGAACTTACAAAAATTAAATATAGACATGTTTGAATTCGATTCCCAACACTGCTAATTAAGCCGAGCTTAGCCACAATTCTCTGTTGAGCTCGAGCACAACTAATTTTCATCGTGCACGGCTACTCAACTTGGCTTGACTCAATGACAGCCCAACCACGTGATCCTACATTATGCATAAGATCAGGCCACGTGAGCCTAGAACCCCCAATATAGCAAAAATGCATAACATTGACAGTTAGGGTCCATTACATTAGTAGGGTTGGCTAGCCTAACATGTACTCGTGAACTCGCCAAAATCCAGATTGCACCCACTTAGAACCCAAACAAAGAATATTTGTCTTTGAATATTTGAGAAATTCCAATTCATTCTCTTATTGAAACTATTTATGTGATTTTGTTTCATGCAACTGACATGAGATTGGGCTAATTATATTTGCCAACCCTTCGAATCATAGTTTACAGATAGGAACAAGTAATGTTTGGTATTTGTAAGAGTCACCCAAAATGGGATTATTTTTGAAATATATAATTTGGGCACTTGATTTTTCTGATCACATGTTTATTTACTTTCAAGTTTCAACAGAGAAGACAATCATATTCAGCAAAAGCCTTAGATTGTCGTGCAACATGGAGAATGATAAAGACTTTGGCATTGCCTAACAAAGTATGTACTTTTCTTTTAGTTAACCACAACTTTAATGCAAAATTGGTGATTTGTTTTTGTTTTTGTTTTTGTTTTGTTTTGGTTTTCTTTTTTTGTGTGTGTGTGTGTGTGTGTGTGTGTGTGTAAAAACTACTCAGCAAATTTGAAAGCAGAATCTGGGTGGTTATTTCATCTATTCTCCAATGCAAAACAGAGAGCTCCTGCTGCCTATGCATAGTATGTAATATGTATAAACTATGTTAGATGGTAATATTACAATAGCATATTGATGTAAGAAGCATGGATGCTTCTAAGAATGTGTCATGTCGTGTCGAGCCGTGCTTTGTCGAACACCGACATGACACAACAGTCATCGGATATTTCTCGACACTTGGTGCACACACATGATCAGCTATTGTTTAAAATTTCCAAAAACACTTGGAGAACATATGTGTATTGTTTAGATATAAATAAAACACATTAGAAGTTTGATTACAACAATTTGGAATTCAATGATAAAGAAAAACAATGCACATGTATACCTATTCTCTTCTTTTAGGCTTCATAAATTAGTCTTACATTGCATTTTGTTATTATTTTTGAATTAAATATTCATATACATGATATATAATAATTTCTTATCCTTATAGATGACATATAATAAATATATAAAAGTATACGTGTCCCATAAGTTTTGCACGTGTCCCATGCGTTGTGTCCCTGCATTTTTTGAATTTTTTGTGTCGGTGTGTCCTTGTCCATGCTTCTTTTATATTGACTTCCATGAAGGACCACCTATGATTAATTAGTCCCACTACAATTAACTTTGTCGTGGATTTTGCATGAAGAATTTGGTTTTGCTGCTTGGTTACATTAATGGACTGTTAATCTGATAAAAAAAACCCTGTACTAGGAGCCTGCTCATATATCAAAAGCGTTTGTATCAAATATTAGTGGCATGTTTTCCCAACCATAATTTAATGTCCTCAGCCATTGTGTAAACTCAGTATGCCTGTAAAAAGAATGAGTAACAAATTCTTTCATCATATTCCCTAGTTTTTGGAATTGTTTGTCATTGGTAAGTGTCCACCAATTATGTGACCTGATCATGGACAAGATTGTTCTTGTTTCTCCTTAAAGTAGGGAAATAACACATAATAAAGATGCATATGGTTCTGGACTTTCTTGTGTTGAAGTAGGATAAATTTTAGTTGTGTCATGTGACTGCTTGCATCTTCCATGTCAAATTATGAAATGAAAGTGAAGCATACAAAGTGGTTGTCTTACAATTGTTGCGTTAGAATCACAACTAAAATTTATCCTACTTCAACACAAGAAAGTCCAGAACCATATGCATCTTTATTATGTGTCATTTCCCTACTTTAAGTGGTTGTCTTACAATTGTGAAGCATACAAAGTGGTTGTCTTACAATTGTTGTGTTAGAATCACAACGTACATCATCAGAACTTTGCAAATCATATTCTAGTGTTAAAAATCAACAATTGACACTACATTTTTTGATATTAAACAAGATTGTACATATGATATTCAAGATGAGGACAGGGATTGTTATGGTCTTCATTTTGTTGCACTTTCCTCCAACATTAGTCTTCTAAAAAATTCTATGTAACTGATTGTGACATTCATTATGTTATAGGCATCAACTTTACCTTTTGCAAATGTTAGGGGGCTTAATCAGTTAAAAGCCAAAGGAGCCAAGATGGAGCTTTCTATAATGCAACCAGATGATTGGCATCTTCGCCTCCGTGATGGTGACCTTCTTGAAGCTGTTATCTCTCACAGGTAATTTTGTGGGAGAAAAATTGTAATATTTGTTTTGCATACTTTCATTTAGTTAGGGGAATTTTTGTTATTCAGATACTGATTCAAAGTATCGTTAGTTTATTTTTTCTTTTTGAATTTAGTTTAGTTGTGAAGGGTTGTAATTTGTATTTTATCTGCTATTCATTATGCCTACAGTGCATTTCATTTTGGAAGGGGAATAGTTATTCCAAATTTAAAACCTCCCTTCAAGACAACAGCTGCAGTGGTGGCTTACCAAGAATCCATCTTGAAAACATTGCCTGCCAATAGTGACTTCATACCTCTTATGGCACTTTACTTGACAGATACCACGACTCCTGAGGAGATCAAACTTGCTAGTGAGTATTACCTACAATACAACTTGCATTCTGATAGTCTTTTAGGTTCTTAACATTCTGAAGATTATTAGAGTTTACTTGAGTCGCATATTTAATTCAATATGTACTTATTGATGCTTAACGGAAGCTATCAATTGCACTTCTCTGTAACTCATTTTTTCCTTGTTGCTTCAGTGTTTTTGTTCAGAACACAGTTTTTAGTCAGGAACTTTGTTCTATGCTTCTTAGTAAACTGTTATGTTTCTTTTGCTATTTGGGATTGACTTTCTCTTCCTCTAGGGAAATCGATTGTGGCTACAAGTGGCAGACGATGTTATGCATTGTCAGCATAGCTATTGATTTGCGTAATTAACTTAATAAATTTCATAATTAACTTAATAGATTTAAAGGAAACCTTCAACATTTAAGAGTTCAGGCTGGTGAGGTGTTTTGATTAATATTGAAAGGCATGTTCAATATGTGCATTAATTTTTTTTTTTTTTGAATTTTTCAGTTGGCCAAATTTTATAATGGTGGGAATGTTCTGATTTTTTCTAAAAAATTATTAATTGATGTTAGCTGTAGATTGGTATCTTGGCAAATAATTTGTGCTTGGAAATTTGGATCTTCATTGAACAAAATTTCTGCTACAGGTTAACTTCATGGCTTCAAAATAACCAAGCAATATCTCACTTTTGAAAGTATCTGAAGTTTAATACGTTCATTTAGTTTGTGACATGTAGGTTGGCTAGTCCTTGTCATTCTTAAAAACTACTTAGTCAATCTATCAAGTAGGATAAAATTTGGTTTTCTCTTTTATCACTTATTTCTTTATGCTTTGTTGAAATGAACACGGTGATTGCTGTAACAGGAGACAGTGGGGTTGTATATGCTGTAAAGCTGTACCCTGCTGGTGCTACAACAAATTCTCAATATGGTGCAACAGATTTATTTGGGAAATGTCTACCTGTTCTTGAGGAAATGGTTAAGCATAATATGCCTCTTCTGGTAATTTCACTTATTTTAATCAGCTAGTAAATATCTACTTGTTCGATTAAAGTAATGAAAAACTATTACGCTTTGTGTGTGTGTGGGCTTTTATGCCTCTTCTGGTAATTTCACTTATTTTAATCAGCTAGTAAATATCTACTTGTTCGATTAAAGTTATGAAAAACTATTACGCTTTGTGTGTGTGTGGGCTTTTTTTTTTATTTTTTTTTGGGGGGGGGGGGGGGTGTGCTTCTTTGGCATTTCTCCACTAATCATGTTTGCAATATCGTTTGTAGGTTGTCATTGACAGTTTAAATTAATTTCTTAGGATCAATTGCATTGTTCATCGGTGAATGTTAGGCTTATCCATCGGTGAATGTTAGGCTTATCCATCAAGAAAATAACATTGCTTCATGTGGTGTTGATATTTTGAAACACCATTTAGGGATTTCTATCTTAAAGCAGGTTACTCCAATGTATATTGTGTTTTTAATAGTGCAAGGCTCCTGTCAGGACATCCTTAGACAACATCAAAAGAACTCTAAACAATATATATATATACTTTGTAGGTTATTATGCGACCCACAAATACCATGAGTCCTCTGTGGACTGCCATGGCAGATTCACAGAGGTTTTCCTAGTTTGCTTTCGGCTTCAAGAGTGATAGTGTCGCTCTATAGGGACATATCCACTCTCATATTCTCCTGTTGGGTCCCAGCCCAGCACCTTAAAACAAATCTCAAAACTACACAGACTCAATATGATTGTTGCAAAAGTACTTGATGCATTCACCGATTGATATCCTTGGGTCCAGTCCACTTTAGTTTGTGTTTTTATTCTTAGCTTTTATAAGAATGTAAGATGAGTAATATGCTTGATGCTTATCCATCAAACATCGGATTGAAAGTGTAAGGCAAACCTATGATTTTGGGCAAAACTAACCTTGTATTATTTCCAAACCCTGGTTGAGTCTTAACAAGTTTATCAAAAAAAGAAATGAGTTCCTTCTGGTCGTCAATAGGCTATCTGCTTCTACGGCATAATTGCAGAAGGCCAAATGACACATCATTAGAGAAACTATACAGGCTGTAAGATGTGAGCTGCTTCATAAGAGGATATCTTGTTTATTTTTCGAAGACACAGCCTCAATTCAACTCAACAAGCCTTTATCCAAACTATTTGGGCTGGCTAAACACAACCTAGCATGACTACATGACTATCATATTATATCTGTTTTGTTTGTCCAATACGAGAAAATACCATTTTTTATCGGAGTTCTTTTGTCTTTAATCTACAGGTTCATGGCGAGGTTACAGATCCTGAGGTTGACATTTTTCATCGTGAAAGGGTATTCATTGACACTGTTCTAAGACCCTTAATTCAAAAGTTTCCACCGCTGAAGGTTGCGATGGAGCATGTTACTACTGCGGATGCTGTTAGGTTTGTCGAGTCTTGCATTGAATACATTTTGTGGTATTTTCTGCATTAACATTTGTTTATTTACTTCGACCCTTTTTCTTGGTGAAAAGAAAATGATATATTTCTTCCCTTATTAGGATTTGTTGCAGCAACCATCACGCCGCAACATCTTGTTCTTAATAGAAATTTCCTTTTTCAAGGAGGATTGCAGCCACACAATTACTGCCTTAAAGTACTAAAAAGAGAGACCCACAGTATGTTCCATACACTCTTTTTCACTAACCAATAATGGAAACTTACCTCCCTCATGTTGGCAAACCCAATATTGTTATGATTTATTCATTCGATCATTTATTTCTTTCATGTTGATCCTTGCCGTGAGTAACTTTTGTATCCTAAATGGTGTGATGATGAATCAGATGTCTGTGGTAGTTGGGTTGGGACGGTTAAAGATTCGTGTCACTTGATGTCCTTTGTTTTCTTTGTTGCTGTTTGTGTTTTAGTACCTTGCCTCTATGCACTGTATGAGAAATGAATTCGACAGGAAAAATCTCTTTTGCAGATAAGATAACCTTGCAAACCTACGCATGGTTGTCCCTTTTGCAAGACATATATGACCCTGATAAATGATCTGTGCCTAAACTTTGGTTATACCTTTCAATGATAGTACCAGAAAAGAATTCATGGAATTAGTGTTTGTAGTGAAATTTCTGAAATGCATAGTAATAATGTCAATTTTTTTGTTGGTCATACAGTGAATGACATTGGAGAATTCAAAGAGTATGTAATTGGGTTGCAAAAAGGCACTTATCCTAGTTAGTGTATATTGACTTGTAATAGTTTTGAATGGAAGTTTTGAAGCATTTCTTAAGGTAAGCTTACTTGCATTTACTCCAGTATAATGTTTGTAATAAAATCCAGAAATGCTTTAAGAATTTAGATAGTTGTTTTACTATGCAATATTGCTTTCTTATGCTCTGCATGATTAAATTATTTGCCCATCCTTTTGTGGCCCTGGTCTAAGCCCATGCATTGTTTTTTCCCCTAGTACAAGCTATCGTGTCAGCTGTGACAAGTGGTTGTAAAAGATTTTTCCTTGGAACCGATAGTGCTCCTGATGAGAGACGACAAAAAAGAATGTTCCAGTTGAAGAGGTAATATCTCCTAGTACACCTCTGATCATGTTTGTTCCAGTTGTTTCATAATTTCATGTTTTTACTTCTTTTGGTGCATTGTGATAAACTATTGTGTAATTCCACCACATAATTTTATTCTCATGGTAATATGTTTGACTTAATTTTTTTCATAATTCAATGACGTGGTGCATTAATAAAATCTATTCTGCATTTTCCAACATTTTTTTATTTTATTTTTTCCTTCTTCATGTTAAGGCTGGTGCACTTGACAAGCCAGAAGCCTTTACAAGCTTTAATGGACCCAACTTCTATGGGCTTCCAAGTAACACATCGAAAATCAAATTGATCAAGAATCGATGGAAGGTGCCAAAATTATTATCCTATGCAACTGGTGAAACACTCGAGTGGCTGCCTTGCTCTGTTTAATCGAAACAAGTACGTTTCCTTGCTTTTTGTTATTGGGAATAAATGCGTATGTTGTTCCATTGGATGGAAGCAACCAATTTTTCAATTGTAGTGTCATGCGTTTATGAAATGAGGTGGAAAAAACATGAATCCCCTTATCCATCTTGCGATAATACTAATCGACTCTTCCGAGCATGGATTGGTGGCATATGTTAGATAGTTATTTTTCGTTTAGGCAATACAATCTGGCCACACCCGTTCTTTTGAAGGGAAAAACAAGAACTCCATTGATGAAAGAATGAGAGAGCAAACCATTACAGGAGAATAGGTGGCTCGGGCCTGACCAGTCAGTCTGAGGTTGGGGTTAATCTTGTCCAAGGGACCTTTGCAGTCATCATCCAGAGCAAGGGCCTACCTTTGCTTTTACGAGTCAAAACAAACCTATGTGCATAAAAAATGGCCTCATATTACAAATTACTTCAAATTTCACTCATTTGTTTTTTCCATTTTTCCATTTGATTTTTCCACTGTTGAAGAATCGACTTTGATTTGTGATGTTTGTCTTGCCTGTTTTTGGATCATAAATTTGGATAAGAATTTGAAAAAGAAAAAGGAAATAGAAAAAAAAATTAATTTATATTTCATTCACATCTTCGTTGCCTTTTTCTCTCTTCCCATGTAAATCTTTATTCAAATTCATGATCATAACACAACTTCGACATACCTAAACTCAAAAATGATTTCTCATAAGCTTGTAATTGTAAAAAGCACTCACAATGTGAGGACTCTACTGCGTTGTTTTGGATCTTTGAATGTCTGGCGATAGAGAAACGAAGTTATTTATATATAATTATTTTTTTTATTGCTTATCAAATCTATTTATTCTTGATAAATATTTATTCATTTTCTTTTATTCATAACCAATTAAACCGAAGAAAAAGAAAAAAAAATTCACTTCATTTTCTTTTCTTAAACGGAAAGTTCACTTTGCGTCCTCATGCCTATCAAACGTGTGTTATTTGTCCCTTAACTTTCCTAAGCTATTAATATTAATTTACTTTACTCCCAAATTGTTTAGAAGGTTAATATTTTTTACGGAATACTATACCCGGCAAACATGCTATATTAATTGATGGTACTGGTTCACTTTAAGGAGACAAATATTCAGATATAATTTATAAAAAAAAAAAAAATGACAGCCAGTTGTTTTGGATTTTTTTTTTTATAATTAAAACACAAAATACAATTAATTTTAGCAAAATACTATATTGGGATATAATTAAATTAGGGACAAAATAGATCTTGGGTTTTTAATTTTATCAATTTAAACTCTAACATCTTGATTTGCTTTCAATATAAATTATTTGTCCATTTTTGTTAAGTAAAATCAAGAGAAAAATAGTATTTTAGTTATTATATTCAATGTAAGTATATATAAAATGTCTAAAATATCATTTTTTATTGAATTTAATGATTAAAATATTATTTTTTCTGTTGATTTTACTTAACGAAAATAGACAAAGTTTAAATTGAAAATAAATAAAAATTTTGGGGTTTACAATGACAAAATTAAAAGCTCAAGTTTTTTTTTTTTTTCCCATTAAATTAAGTAAATCACAAGGACAAATAATTTGTGTGAAGGCATGTGTGATATTCCGTAAAAAGTTTAAATTTGTTGACAATTTGAAATAAAGTGAACTAATGTCAATTATTTAAGAAGTTAATTATTGAAATTAATAGTTTATGGGTAAGAAAAAGTGAATTTTTTCTTTTTGTATATTTTATTTTATTGTCGACAAATTGCAGATCTAAACAACAACCTATGGGAACTTCCCAATCTGTGCAGGTAATTTTCCAAACATACATGCATCTATCTATTCTTCTTTATAGATTTAAGAGAAAAGAAAAAAACAATATCAGAATCTCCCTATGCAGCCTAAAATATACTTCAAATCCACGCCGAATTAATGCAAAAGGTGATTGAGGGAGGAATAGTAATATTTTCAATATGTTGAATTTATTAAAAAACAATAATAATTAATTTCGGAAAAAAAAAAA